CACTGAGATATCCCTGTATTTCCTTTTACACTGAGATATTCCTGTGTTTCCCTCTGAGGGATGGATATCCCTGTGTTTGCTGGGATGGATATCCCTGTGTTTCCCTTTGCTGGGATGGATACCCCTGTGTTTCCCTCTGAGGGGAGGATATCCCTGTGTTTGCAGGGATGGATACCCCTGTGTTTCCCTCTGAGGGGAGGATATCCCTGTGTTTGCAGGGATGGATACCCCTGTGTTTCCCTCTGCAGGGATGGATAGCCCTGTGTTTGCTGGGATGGATATCCCTGTGTTTGCTGGGATGGATATCCCTGTGTTTCCCTTTGAGGGATGGATATCCCTGTGTTTCCCTCTGCAGGGATGGATACCCCTGTGTTTGCTGGGATGGATATCCCTGTGTTTCCCTCTGCAGGGATGGATACCCCTGTGTTTCCCTCTGCAGGGATGGATATCCCTGTGTTTGCTGGGATGGATATCCCTGTGTTTGCTGGGATGGATATCCCTGTGTTTGCTGGGATGGATATCCCTGTGTTTCCCTCTGCAGGGATGGATATCCCTGTGTTTCCCTTTGAGGGATGGATACCCCTGTGTTTGCAGGGATGGATATCCCTGTGTTTCCCTCTGCAGGGATGGATAGCCCTGTGTTTCCCTCTGCAGGGGTTTTGGGGTGTTTAGGGTTTTTTAGGAACTCCAAACACAGGCAAAGGCTCAGGTTGAGAAAGGAGACTTTCATTCCCCTTTGTGAAAGTTCTGCACAAATCCAAATTTACCCACTGACATCTCCACACACCCTCCTGGCTCATCCACATTATCCCATCACCTCCTCCTGCAGAATTCTTTCACCTGGCACTGTCCCTGTGCCTGTCTGTGCCCCCGGGGGTCTCTGGTGCCCTCTGGGGAGGTGCCCCCACCCAGCTTTGGGCCAGGTTCAGCTCGGGCTGGCAGAAGCCCAGGAGGAGATGCCACATCCCCTCAGGCCAGTGCTGTAAGGCAGGAAACCTTGAGCAGCAGCTGCCTGGCACAGCTGGGAACATCTGTCTGCATTCAGAAGGGGGTTGAGGGTCACAATGGCACCGTCAGGCTCCATCTGCAGCTGAGGTCAAAGGGACAGAAAATTCTGCTTGAAGTCCTGGAGCTTAAAGATGCAGAGGATCCTACTTAAAAATAGTGAAAATCCTGCCTAAGGACTCTGAGCTTAAAGACAGAGTGAATCCGACTTAAAAATACTGAAAATTCTACTTAAAGGTATCAGAGCTTAAAGATGCAGAGATTCCTTCTTAAAAATAGAGAAAATTCTGCTTAAAGCCATCAGCAGGGCTGGGGGGCTCTGGGGCTGTGAGGGGCTGTGAGGGCAGGCACAGAGCTCCTTCCAAGAGAATTTGGGAGCTCCTGTTACAGCAGGACTGGTGCTGGGTGATGAGGATGGTTTTTGGAACAGGAACACTGGCAGTGCCCAGGGAGGGTTGCAGTGCCCATCCCTGGGGGTGTCCCAGGGATTCCTGGAGGTGGCACTCAGGGCTCTGGGCTGGGGACACGGTGGGGATGGGGCAGGGCTGGCACTGGAGGGATTTTCCAGCCTCAATAATCCTGGGATTCAGGGAAGTTTTCACCTCACTGCCAGGGTGTACCATGACCTGGCAAAACCAGATCTGGGGGAAGCACCACGGCCAGGAAAAACCCCTCATTTCCCCCTCACTGGAATGGCAGTGATGGCATTTCGCTCCTCTTTCCATGGCATTTGACTGTTGAAATTCCAGGTAACTCTAAAACCCTTCCAAGGCCTTTTTGCAAACACTTGGAGCAGACCTGGTTGGTTTGTGAGGAGATGGAAGCCCCCAGGTGTCTGGGCCAGGCTCCAGGGTGGGTGAGCAGTGGGTGATGCTGGGCTGGGGCAGAGCAGCTCCCGCTGCCCGCGCTCCCTCCAGCACCCAAAGCACAGCCTGGCCCTTCCTCCACGGAGATCTTCAGCAGGAGAGGAGAGAGAGCTCCATCAAAGGAGGGGAAACCACCCAAACTCCTCTTTCAACTGAGTGATGAAACTTTGATAAGGGGCCTGATGAAAGTTTAATAAGGAAGGCAGCTCCAGGAGCGCTGCTCAGCGCGGGCTCGGCTGGCCCCGGCTCGCATTATTTTCCTGTTCTCCTGCCCTCTTTGGGGAAATCACATCCTCCTCTCCAGAAGAAAGGAATCAAACGAGAAGTAAACAACCTTTCTGCTCATGTGCCCTGCAGGAAGGCACAGGAAGGCCGTGATTGCAGACAGCATTAGCTTTCACAGGAGCTGCAGGAGGTGTTTTGTGGGTTTTTCCCAGCAGCAGACAGCTGGAATTGGGAATGAGCACAGGCTCTGGGAGGGCAGGTGCTTCACCCCGCTGAAGGATTGTTCCACTCCACGTCAATGAACAATGAGCTTGTATTTAACCCTTGGATTGGCTGGACACTGATGGTTTTATATTTTGTTTTTTAATTTCCACTGTCGGTCTGGCAGAAAAAACTGTTTTCATTTATCCATTGCTGAATGATCAAAACTTAAATATTTGTGGGTTTTTCTTGGCCTGTGTGCCGGTTGCTCAGTGCATCTGCAGGTGTTCCTTGGCACAGAGGAGTAATGACTGTAAAAATAATTGACATTTTGTGGTGACACTGAAAATATTAAACTTCTGTTTTGTTAATTCAGGGTTTATCTTGTTGGGAAATAATTGTTTGTAAAGGGCTGTGACAAAGCTGGGGGTGTTCACATGGAGAAGGCTCCAGGGAGAGCTCAGAGCCTGGAGGGGCTCCAGGAGAGCTGGAGAGGGACTGGGGACAAGGGATGGAGGGACAGGACACAGGGAATGGCTCCCAGTGGCAGAGGGCAGGGCTGGGTGGGATTTTGGTCAGGAATTGTTCCTGGCAGGGTGGGCAGAGCCTGGCACAGGTGCCCAGAGCAGCTGGGGCTGCCCCTGGATCCCTGGCAGTGCCCAAGGCCAGGCTGGACATTGGGGCTGGAGCAGCTGGGACAGGGGAAGGTGTCCCTGCCATGGCTGGGGGACACTGGATGATTTTCCCTCCCAGCCCAAACCATTCCCTGATCCTGTGACCTTATCCCAGGTCCCTGCTGTGCTCTCCTACCTGCATCCCCCAGCCCAGCCGCCCTTCCCTGTTCTCCTTGCTGGGATGCAGAGGGAAGGAGAAGCCTGGGAGTGAGGAGTGGGATCAGATGGGATTTGTGGAGCCACAGCTGGCTCCTGCTGCCTGCAGGATTTGCACCGGGCTGAGAGCTTTGCTGGATGCCAAAATAAGCTGATGATTGCTTAATTTTTGAATCCCGAGCTCGGTGTGGAGGGAGGAACAGCTGCTGTTTGTCAGATTTGCTTTGCTCCTCAAGAGTTTTACGACTCCTGCTCTTGTTTATTTAACATAATCAGCCACAATTGAGCTCTGAAGGTCTTCCCTGTCACTGCCAGGCTGGGGAGTGAATGGTGCAGGGGCCAAAAGGTGTTTGAGCTTGGATTTGGGACATTCCTGGGTTCCCTTGGCAGTGCCCAGGGAGGGTTGCAGTGCCCATCCCTGGAGGTGCCCCAGGAATTGCTGGAGGTGGCACTCAGGGCTCTGGGCTGGGGCAGGGCTGGGAGTCCCTGGGCTGGGAGGGATTTTCCAGCCCCAGAGGTTCCATGAAGTGTCCTGTTGAGTTTTTGGGATGAGGGTGATAAGGTGCAGAGCTTGTCAAACTCAGGGATTTGTGTGCAGGACACAGGAGAGCAGCCAGGCAGGTGAGGGAGCAGTGGGTGCCTAATGTAGCAATAAATTCAGATTTGACATCAGACTGTTACACTTAGGAAAGCTGAGAATAATTGTGTTCCGTGCGTTCAAATATTTGACTTTTTTATTAAGTTTTTTCATTTGAATTCAATAACTCTGCGCAGTTTGTGTGAGTCACTGCTGCCTTGTGCCTCTGGGTGATGGTGATGTGTTCACATCTGTGGGGTTTAATGGCGAAAAATGCTCCAGCCACAGGCTGGGGATGTGCAATCACCACTAGCAAAGGGGCTCTGGGAGTCCTGCAGGAATGTCTCAGTCAACAGCTGGGCTTGGAGGGGACCTCTGGAGATCATTTCCAGGCTCCTGCCCAGGCGGTGTCACCTGCAGCAGGTGACACGGGAACGTGTCCAGGAGGGTTTGGAATGGCTCTGGAGAGGGAGACCCCAGCCCCTCCCTGGGCAGCTGTTCCTGGCTCTGGCCCCTCCACGCAAAGAAGTTTTCTCATGTTGGGCTGGAACTTGCTGTGCTTTAGCTTCTGGCCACTGCTCCTTGTCCTGTCTCTGGCACCGCTGAGCAGAGTCTGGCACCGTCCTCTGACAGCCCTTGGGGAGATTTGTATGGATTGATGGGATCCCCTCTCAGCCTTCCCTTCTCCAGACTGACCAGGCCCAGCTCCCGCAGTCTCTCCTCATCTCAGAGATGCTCCAGTCCCAAAATGAGCTCTGTGGCCTCCGCTGGACCCTCTCCAGCAGCTCCTTGGCATTCTTCCTTTGTCTCTGCTGCCAGGAACAGGGACAGGAGGAGAGGGAACGGCTCAGGATGCCCAGGGCAGGCTCAGGGGGGACAGCAGCAGGAATTTCCCCATGGAAAGGGAGCTCAGGCCTTGGCAGTGCCCAGGGAGGGTTGCAGTGCCCATCCCTGGAGGGGTCCCAGGAATTGCTGGAGGTGGCACTCAGGGCTCGGGCTGGGGACACGGTGGGGATGGTCAAGATTCAGACTTGATGACCCTGCAGATCTTTTCCCATGGAAGTGATTCTGTGGTTCAGCGATTCCTGAGCTCTGGAGACCAGAGCTGGGCACAATAAACAGATTTATTCCATAAACACCTGCTCAGGCTCTGGAGTCTCTCTCGCAGGGCTGGGTGGGGCGTGCTGCATCTTGTTCCACCTTGTGCCAAAACTCAGGGTGCTGAGCACCCACTTTCCCCGGTCCCACTGCTCTCCCCTCCAGCTCACACCCATTCTCTCTCTGTCTGTCCCACAGGTGGTTGCCAGAACAGCCTTAAAGCCGTGGGTGGCTCTCAGAGCCTGGCGCTGCTGGCCCTGGAGCCCGAGGCCCCGGCGGGGCTGAGCCTGCAGCCCTGCCAGCTCCTCACCCTCTCCCCCATCAAGGTCCCGCTCCTGGCCTCGCCCTTCCCAGGTAAGGTCCTGCTGTGGCCCCAGGAGCTGCTCTGGGCAGCACAGGGCTGGTGTGTGGCTGCTGGCGAGCGCTGGGGTCAATTTGGGTTAAATCCCCAGTTTCTGGAGCAGTTGGAGGCGTTCTCTGGGACTGTGTCAGGAGTGAGCCCAGAGCTCTGCGTGCCCACAGCCCTGGGACGTTCAGGGACAGCTGAGCTGGTTCCTCCCTCATCTCAGGGGGGTCTGTGGGGAAGGTGGGACAGCAGCCCTGGGGTCCTGAGCACATTCAGGAGCTCAGAGCTGGGACAGCACAGCCTGCACCTTCTCCCCGAGGGAGCCCGAGGTGTGCTCACTGCTGGAAGCTCACTCTTTTCTGCCTGTGGGCTGAGAACTGTCTGCAGGTGAAGCTGAGGAGGCACCGGGGCATCCCTGCCTGGCTGGCAGCTTCAGGGCAGGTTTGTACCTGGGCTTGGCGTGCTTGGGGCTATTTGCAGAACAGTTATCTGCCAATTAAGTTAAAAATGTAAATGAGGGTGCGTTTTTCCATCGTTTTGGTAATTGGAGTGTAGCACAGCAAGGCACAAGGAGATTGAATTCTGCAGAAGGTGCAGCTCTGGTTTGGCGTTGGTGGGAGAGCTTTAATGAGAAATGGATCCCAGGGATTCTGGTTCCTGGAGAACCTCAGTGCTGTGAGCTGTGGGACCAGGGCTGGGATGACAAAATGGACCCAGAGCAGGGAAGTGCAGGAAAAGGAGGCTCAGGGGGAATTTCTGGCTCTGCACAAGTCCCTGGCAGGAGGGGACAGCCGGGGGGATTTGGGATCTGCTGCCAGGAACAGGGACAGGAGGAGAGGGAGCAGCTCAGGATGCCCAGGGCAGGCTCAGGGGGGACAGCAGCAGGAATTGCCCCATGGAAAGGGAGCTCAGGCCTTGGCAGTGCCCAGGGAGGGTTGCAGTGCCCATCCCTGGAGGGGTCCCAGGAATTGCTGGAGGTGGCACTCAGGGCTCGGGGTGGGGACACGGTGGGGATGGGGCAGGGCTGGCACTGCCTGGGCTGGGAGGGATTTTCCAGCCCCAGGGATTCTGTGGAATGACTGAAAATGTTTTTCCTGATCCTCCAGTGACCTACAAAGTCACCTTGGGGTTAACGACCTGCCCATGTTCCCCTGGTCTGGAGTTCATGAAAGGCACGCAGTAGCAATGAACTTAAAAACCCCCAAATTAAATTATTTCCAGCTTCAGTCTCGGTGTTTATTGGTGCCTGGAAGGCTGACCATTGTGTGTGATTACCCCAGTTAATTGATTGTCCCCTGTTAATTGATTCCATCAGAGATCAGTGGCCTGTTCCTTCCTTGTGCAGTCCGGTGTCTCCAACCACAGGGATTTGCTCCATCAATGTTCTTAGGAGTGAATATTTATTTTTTTTAGACCTTTGACTATGGTTAGTTTTGCAGTCTTACAGGGAATTCCTGGCAGCCTAATCAGCACCTTTGGGAAGTGCAGGGTGGTAACACAAGGTGGGAGGTGTGGGGAGGGCACGGGGCAGGTGAGCATCCAGGCTCTGCTGCTTTTCCATCCTCACAGAGGAAATTCCTGGCAATTCCCTTGAAGCAAAGCACCAGGAGTTATGGGGAGCTGAGAGTGTGCACAGTGCAGCTGCCATTTTTTAAACTTCATTTTTAAAACTGATTTTAAAACTGATCCCAGCTGGATCCCTGGGAGTGGGGCTGAGCAGCCAGGCCTGGGAGCTTGCTGTGCCCTGGCTCTGCTCTCAGTGCTGCTCCTGGGGATTATTTTGTCACTGTGCTGAGCTTAGAAAAACTTGTAATGATGAAATAAACGCACGGGAGAGAAGCTGCATAAAAGCCCTGGGTTTAATAGCAACATAAAATAGTGTTTTATATGGAATAAAAGATGGAAGCTTGAGGAACCTGTCCATGCAGTGATGTGTGGCTGGAAAGGCTCCAGCTCAGGCTCTGAGCAGTGAGAGGAGCCTTGTCCCACATTTCTGTGCTCTCTGCTCCTGTGAGGTGAAGGGAGAAGGTTCCAGCAAGGCAATTTCAGCCCCATTTTGGGTTACTATTGCTTTTATTTCCTTTCCTCGTTTTGCATCCACTGGTGGTGCTGCTCGTGCATCTCCCAGGCAAATGTTCCCTTAAATATTTCATGGCAGCCACGCTGTGAGTGTGGATTTTGTGCCAGGTTTAACATAAAGACTAAACAGGAGCTTGTGGAGATGCAGCTCCTCACTGAGCTGCATCTTCCTGTGCTCTGCTGGGAGAGGAACCTGCATTTCTGAAATCTGTCCCAAGGAAACCCTAAATACATTAAACTTTGCAAACACCAGCACTTACCTGCAGTAATTAAGGAATGGGGTGTCTGCTAATCTCACATACCCCTCTGCAGCTACTGCAGAAAGAAGTGGGCATTTGTTTTCCTCACATGCAGGTTTTTAATGTTGGGAGTGAAGAAGGTAAGAGATGAGTTTGTGGTTATGGACTCTGTAAATTAGCAGCCAGCACAAATATTAAAAAAGGCACCATCTGCCATAATATCCATTTGCCACCTGTTCCCTGGCTCTCAGCATTATTTAAGGGTTTAAATGTGGTGGTTGAGGCTGCCACAGAACAGCTGGGAAGTGACTGAGCCTTTTTCCTCTCAGCACCTCAGTGCTGTGTGTCAAGCCCAGCTCTCGGTGCCAGGTTTGTGTCCGAGCTCTGTCCGGTGTCCGTCGGTCCCTCCTTGGCAGGGGCAGCTGACTGAGCCAGGCTTCAGAGCACAGTTACTGATGGTTTGGGGTGGGCTGGGGAGGAAACAGCTCCTCCTGCCAGCAGAGGGGCACAGACTGTCCAGAGTGAGCACAGACTGTCCAGAGTGGGCACAGACTGTCCAGAGTGAGCACAGACTGTCCAGAGTGAGCACAGACTGTCCAGAGTGAGCACAGACTGTCCCAGAGTGGGCACAGACTGTCCAGAGTGGGCACAGACTGTCCCAGAGTGGGCACAGACTGTCCAGAGTGGGCACAGACTGTCCCAGAGTGGGCACAGACTGTCCAGAGTGGGCACAGACTGTCCCAGAGTGAGCAGAGACTGTCCAAAGTGGGCACAGACTGTCCCAGAGTGGGCACAGACTGTCCAGAGTGACCAGAGACTGTCCAGAGTGGGCACAGACTGTCCAGAGTGGGCACAGACTGTCCAGAGTGGGCACAGACTGTCCAGAGTGGGCACAGACTGTCCCAGAGTGAGCACAGACTGTCCAGAGTGGGCACAGACTGTCCAGAGTGGGCACAGACTGTCCCAGAGTGGGCACAGACTGTCCAGAGTGGGCACAGACTGTCCAGAGTGGGCACAGACTGTCCCAGAGTGACCAGAGACTGTCCAGAGTGGGCACAGAACTGGGGAAGGGTCCCGTGCTGGGGAAGGGTCCCGTGCTGGGGGTGGGTAATGGGGCTCTGGAGTTACTCCCATTGAACCCTTGAGCTCAGCCTAAGGTCCCCAGGGAACCCCAGAACCCCAGAATGGTTTGGGTTTGGAGGGACCCCAAACCCCCCATCCCACCCCAGCCATGGCAGGGACAGCTCCCCCTGTCCCAGTGTCCAGCCTGGCCTTGGTGTTCCAGCATTTTCCCAGAGGTTTCCCAGCTGCTTACTGGGAGAGCTGGGCTGAGACATTTGTCCAACCTCTGTGCAAACTCCAAACTCTCTTTCCTTCTCTTGATGAGATTAATTAACAGCTGCAGCCCAGTGAGTGAAAGCTTGGGAAGCTCTGGGCACTGGGGTGGCTCCTCAGGCTCTGCCAGGCTGGGTGTCCCTGCTGGGCTCACCCCCATCCTTTAGGGATCCATCCCTGGGAATTCTTGGGCAGTTCTCACTTCAGATTAGTCCAGCCCTTCTCTGCACAGAGTTCCAAGGTCTGGGGCGAGCAGAAATGAACGTTCTGGGGAGGAATGTGATATTCCTGTCCCGAGGAGGCTTTGCCTGGCTGGGTGTGCCTCGAGTCTGGATGACACAGGCTCCCTGGGAATGCTGAGGAGCTCGAAGGAGCCCCTTGTAAATGATGTGCCCAGCTCTAATGCTGGGTAACGAAGCAAGGAAATGAATGTTTATAGTTATTAAAGTGATAACTTCCTACCCCTGCTAACATTCAGCACAGAATCACCCTCTGGCTCCCTGTGTGTGTCGGCACACGAGAGGGAAGGTGAGCTCACACAGGGGCTCAGAGAATGCCCAGAACCCACAGGAATGGCACCAATTCCCCCCTCCCTGCACAGGGAATTCCCTCACACAGGGAATCCCTGCTGGGAGCTGGAACTGGCCCCCTGAGACCCTGTAAGAAATGGGGTGATGGCTCTCAGAGCAGAGAAATTCAGCTGTTTTTGGAGGAGGAGGGCAGGGTGAGGTCAGGCCCAGCTCTGAGATCTTGCAGAGCTCTGCACCAGCCGTGCTGAAAGCCAGGGCAGCCCTGGGGGTTCATTGGTGCCAGCACTGGAGGGACCAGAGTGGATTTATGGATCACAGAGCACTTTGTGATGTACAAACAGGCCATGCCAAGGCTGTGGGGTGTCTGGGGAGCAGGGACAGGACCTGAGGACATCAGGACCTGAGGACATCAGGGCAGGGTCACAGTCCAGGCTCCCACGGTGAGCAGGAGAGGCTCTCAGTGCAATAGCAAGGTATTGACGAAAGGACAAATATCAATGCTCCAGTGGCAGCTCCAGAAGACAAACAGCCCAAATCCTCTCAGTCGTGCCCAGCTCTTGGTAAATGTCACGGAAGCCAGGGTTAATTTACTGTATCTGTAAGTGCTTGTTAAAACCCTGAGTGGGGTTTGGCTGCGAAGCTGGCGCTGAGCAGTGTTTAAATCAGCTCTCACCCTCAGGAGCAGCATCCTGTCCCTGCCAGGTGCCTTTCCCTGGCCAGGTGTGCAGGTGCTGCCCCTCCCAGGGGTCACACCAGGAGTTTGGCATTTCCCTGTGTCCCTGGGCTGCGCTGGCCAGGCTGGGCTCTTCTTTCTGCAGCACACTC